ATGGTAGCGCGTCTGACTCCAGATCAGTAGGTTGCATGCTCAAATCATGTCGGGGTCAGGTGAGCTCTTCTTGATCTCCTGAGTATGAAGTCTAACCTCAAGCATTTCCCTTCAATGTTATAGAGTGATTGATTTGAATAGATCATCAAAGTGCTTATGGGAGATGCACCAACCAGCTTTCCCGGAATTAGTGGTGCAAAGGTAGCGAGCGCGTCTAACTCGAAATCAGAAGGTTGTGTGTTCAAATCATGTCGGAGTCAGGTGAACTCTTCTTGATCTCCTGAGTATGAATTCTAAGCTGTAGCATTTCCCTTCAGTGTTGTGCAAAGATTGATTCGCATAGTGCATCAAAGTGCTTATGGGAGAAGCACCAACTCACTTTCCAGGAGCTCGTGGCGCAATGGTAGCGTGTCTGACATCAGATTAGAAGGTTGCGTGTTCAAGTCACGTTGGGGTCATGTGATCTCTTTTTGATCTCCTGAGTATGAAGTCTAACCTGTAGCATTTCCCTTCAGTGTTATACAAAATCCTTGGCTCTATCAGCTGAGCTATCGAAAGAAAGACGATACTGCAGCCACAACCAGGAAACTCATAGTGCTTATGCAAAAACCACCAACTCCTCCGCTAGTAACTCATGGCACAAGGGTAGTGCAACTGACCAATCTCTTCTTGATCTCCTATACAATGATTGATTCGCATAGTGCATCAAAATGCTTATGGGAGAAGCACCTACCAACTTTCCAGGACCTTGTGCAATTGCTACCATTGCTACCATTGGACCATTGCTACCATTGCGCCACGAGGTCCTATACAATGATTGATTGCTTGCGCAATGGTCCAATGGTTCCAGGAGCTCGAGGCGCAATGGTAGCGCGTCTGACTCCAGATCAGAAGGTTGCGTGTTCAAATCATGTTGGGGTCATGTGACCTCTTTTTGATCTCCTGAGTATGAAGTCTAACCTGTAGCATTTCCCTTCAGTGTTATACAAAGTCCTTGGCTCTATCAGCTGAGCTATCGAAAGAAAGACGATACTGCAGCCACAACAAAGAAACCAGGAAACTCATAGTGCTTTTGCAAAAACCACCAACTCCTCCGCTAGTAACTCATGGCACAAGGGTAGCGCAACTGACCAATCTCTTCTTGATCTCCTATACAATGATTGATTCGCATAGTACATCAAAATGCTTATGGGAGAAGCACCAATCAGCTTTCCAGGACCTTGTGGTGCAACGATAGCGCGTCTGACTCTAGATCAGTAGGTTGCGTGTTCAAATCACGTCAGGGTCATGCGATCTCTTTTTGATCTCCTGAGTATGAAGTCTAACCTGTAGTATTATGCAATGAATGATTTGCATAGTGCATCAAAGTGTTTATGGGAGAAGCACCTATCAGCTTTCCCGGACCTCGTGGCACAACGATAGCGTGTCTGACTCCAGATCAGTAGGTTGCATGCTCAAATCATGTCGGGGTCAGGTGAGCTCTTCTTGATCTCCTGAGTATGAAGTCTAACCTCAAGCATTTCCCTTCAATGTTATAGAGTGATTGATTTGAATAGATCATCAAAGTGCTTATGGGAGATGCACCAACCAGCTTTACTGGAATTAGTGGCGCAAAGGTAGCGAGCGCATCTAACTCCCGATCAGAAGGTTGTGTGTTCAAGTCATGTCAGGTGAACTCTTTTTGATCTCCTGAGTATGAAGTCTAACCTGTAGCATTTCCCTTCT